CCCCCCAAAAAAAACTCCCCTTGGCCCCCCCCTTTTTTTTTTTTTTTTTTTTTGATTAAAGGAGGGGTTATGGGAAAGGCCAGACTAGTATTAAAATAATAAGTACACTTTATGGGAAGTATTTTTTCTTGGACAAACTGGATCTCACCCAGCCCCTGCTTATTTATATAATACAAAAATTGCATATTAATTTGGGACGAAAAGTATTATACATACATCATTGTACAGATGTTTTTATAATTCTACATATATTGCCGTTTTTAGTAATAGCAATAACTAGTATGATTCATTCAAGAAAAAGCAAATACATACTGTTGCTTGTACTATTTAAACAAAGAACACAACACCAAATTTTGTTCAAACAGGTTTATTCTCCTATAAACAGTTTTCAGCATTGTACCATAAAAGTTCAGCAAGTAACACATCTCGTGTTATTCCAAATGCATACCTTTTCTGTTTACAGTATTTACAACTCGCCATCAAAAATGTTTAGTACATTTGTTTACAATCAATCTCATACGGTTCTGAAATAAAGTGATGTGAAAATCTCTGAGAAACATTTTAAGCATGTGTTATTCAGAATAACACATTTTCTGTAACATTCAGAAAAATAAACATTCATGGGGTGAAACTTTATAAAGACCAAACATATGCACTGCTTAAATTACCACCAACTATTTTAACAGCAATATAAGTGCGTGTTGAATAAGGAACAGTTATTAAAGTTATTAAACTTCAAGTTTGAATCAAATCTATCATAGATTTTACACAACTTGCATCCACTTCCTCATAATTTAGCCTGTGTTTCAAGTGAAATTTGAAATACTAATTCAGATTGGGGCAGCTTAAGTAAGATCTAGAGAAAAATGCATCTTTCCCATTAGATTTATTGTTGTTATTTGCTTAAAAGGTGCCCGTGGTTTCCACATCTGCGAATAGAAGAATGTAAAACCCTTGTGTTTTATAGTGTATGAAAAAAATAGATTAAATAGGACATACCGATCTTGCATAGTCAGCTCATTTCATCCCAGCTTCTAACAGACAAAGCCCTGATGTCTGGGAGAGAATCTGGCTCATCAACATAAGTACTTATTCAAACGTAATGTAGTGGCTTAATAGCATTGGTAGGCGAACTGTGGGCCCAATGTTCTTCAGTAATGACTGAAATGTGTTACAATAAGGAGAGATTCATTGAGTGCTGGATAAAAATCTGAGGTGAACAAAGCAGTTCTACTATTGAAATAGATAACGGAAATCCCAAACATGTCATGAGACACGGGGAGCAGTTAAAATGAGTACTTAAGAGAAGCCAAGACATCTTCATCTCTGAAAAATCAATGAATGCTTCATTCAGTATTTTTAAATCTATGCACTTCTAAATAAATCCATTACGAGGAAAAAAAGCGAACATACCACTAATAAACATTAATGTACTCCTAAAAAAGGTCAAAAGCATAATCATAACGAAGTTTTATAACAGTGGTAGCGCTTTTATACAAAGTAGCAATTTTGAAAGTGGACATATCAGGCACTTAGATCATGTTTGAGATGACGTCAAAAGAAGTAATTCCACTATGACCTTGACCTATGGTTGCGTTGTGGCTTATCGAGAGGATTTTTATTTAGTTTTTTTGGAGTCAGCCTTTTCCCAACTCTCGAAGGAAACATTCCCACACACCTGTCAAACACAGAGAGAACAAAGCCGGGCTGCCTGTACAGAAAAATTAGAGAAGATGTTGATGTTAAGGGCAGATTTATCTGTCCTTGGACGTGAGCTTCTCGATCAGCTCCTGAAGGGGTGCTAGTTCCTTCCGATCAATCAAATTAAACTCCTGAAAAAAAGAGAGAGAAATGTTTATATTGGAGGTAGCCAAACATTCATCTCCTTGTGATAAGCAAAATTCAGCCAAACACCAACTCACGCATTTCAAGGCCACAAGTACACACCTGAACGAAGAAGATAAAGTGCTTGAACGAGGTGTTGAGGTGTGCCTCCTCCTGCAGCTGGATAACAGAGTCAAAGTGCTGATGGTAGATGTGAGCGTAAACACGGAAGAGTCTCTTCAAAATGGTCTTGGCCACCGACATAAAGTTCTTTCGGAAAGGGACCCCTATAAATGTCACAGAAAAACAACTTAGTTTTAGAATCCACGCAGAACAGAATGCTGGATGACCAAATGACCAGTAGAATATATGCTGTGGAAATGGTCACTAGTGTCCTTGAGAAGTTTTTTAAAGCATGCTTTATTGATGCTTTAATATTGCCACCATGTGGACAAATCCCTCCATGATCATAATGAGCTCTACAAAGAAAAAGCATGCCAAATTTCTAGATCATGCACAAGAAAACTAAAGGAGAAGCACACCTATTTTTGAAGGGAAAAGTGTCTCATCATCAAGCTGATCCTGGACCCAAGTCATCAGGTAATCAATGTACTTTGGAGCCGAACATTTAATTGGCTTTTTTATGTTGGTTCCATCGGCCCAGTGATATTCATACCTGCAGACAACATACAAGAAACAAGTGAAAGGAAATTTCTTTTGAAATGATTTTTTTTTTTTTTTATTTAAAAGCACTTTTTAAAATCCCCATTACCGGTCAGATTTTTTTTTTTTTGTAAAGAAATTCATACTTTTATTCACCAAGAATGCATGATGAATAAATGAATGATGAATAAAATGATCAAGTGACAGTTTTTTTTTTCCTGTTCATCAAAGAATTCTTTTTTAAAATGCATCACCGTTTCCACAAAAATATTAAGCAGCACAACTGTTTTCAACATAAGAAATCTTTCTAAGGCCGGTTTCACACCACAAGCATGAGCGATATGTGAGCAGCATAATTTTTTTGCCGTGCATGTCGAAGGAAACATTCCCACACACCTGTCAAACACAGAGAGAACAAAGCCGGGCTGCCTGTACAGAAAAATTAGAGAAGATGTTGATGTTAAGGGCAGATTTATCTGTCCTTGGACGTGAGCTTCTCGATCAGCTCCTGAAGGGGTGCTAGTTCCTTCCGATCAATCAAATTAAACTCCTGAAAAAAAGAGAGAGAAATGTTTATATTGGAGGTAGCCAAACATTCATCTCCTTGTGATAAGCAAAATTCAGCCAAACACCAACTCACGCATTTCAAGGCCACAAGTACACACCTGAACGAAGAAGATAAAGTGCTTGAACGAGGTGTTGAGGTGTGCCTCCTCCTGCAGCTGGATAACAGAGTCAAAGTGCTGATGGTAGATGTGAGCGTAAACACGGAAGAGTCTCTTCAAAATGGTCTTGGCCACCGACATAAAGTTCTTTCGGAAAGGGACCCCTATAAATGTCACAGAAAAACAACTTAGTTTTAGAATCCACGCAGAACAGAATGCTGGATGACCAAATGACCAGTAGAATATATGCTGTGGAAATGGTCACTAGTGTCCTTGAGAAGTTTTTTAAAGCATGCTTTATTGATGCTTTAATATTGCCACCATGTGGACAAATCCCTCCATGATCATAATGAGCTCTACAAAGAAAAAGCATGCCAAATTTCTAGATCATGCACAAGAAAACTAAAGGAGAAGCACACCTATTTTTGAAGGGAAAAGTGTCTCATCATCAAGCTGATCCTGGACCCAAGTCATCAGGTAATCAATGTACTTTGGAGCCGAACATTTAATTGGCTTTTTTATGTTGGTTCCATCGGCCCAGTGATATTCATACCTGCAGACAACATACAAGAAACAAGTGAAAGGAAATTTCTTTTGAAATGATTTTTTTTTATTTTATTTAAAAGCACTTTTTAAAATCCCCATTACCGGTCAGATTTTTTTTTTTTTGTAAAGAAATTCATACTTTTATTCACCAAGAATGCATGATGAATAAATGAATGATGAATAAAATGATCAAGTGACAGTTTTTTTTTTCCTGTTCATCAAAGAATTCTTTTTTAAAATGCATCACCGTTTCCACAAAAATATTAAGCAGCACAACTGTTTTCAACATAAGAAATCTTTCTAAGGCCGGTTTCACACCACAAGCATGAGCGATATGTGAGCAGCATAATTTTTTTGCCGTGCATGTTAACAAATGAGTGCATTCACACCGGGAGCAGGAGCAGCGCGTGAGTGTCAAGCAGGAGCGTCGTGTGAGCAGCACCGAAGCAATGGTTTTGCTGTAGAGTGGCTGCACTGCTCCACTCAATTAAAGAGACAGCACACTTTTGATGGACAAAATAAATATGATTTCACACAAAAAGCAACATACAAGAAACAAGTGAAAGGAAATTTCTTTTGAAATGATTTTTTTTTATTTTATTTAAAAGCACTTTTTAAAATCCCCATTACCGGTCAGATTTTTTTTTTTTTGTAAAGAAATTCATACTTTTATTCACCAAGAATGCATGATGAATAAATGAATGATGAATAAAATGATCAAGTGACAGTTTTTTTTTTCCTGTTCATCAAAGAATTCTTTTTTAAAATGCATCACCGTTTCCACAAAAATATTAAGCAGCACAACTGTTTTCAACATAAGAAATCTTTCTAAGGCCGGTTTCACACCACAAGCATGAGCGATATGTGAGCAGCATAATTTTTTTGCCGTGCATGTTAACAAATGAGTGCATTCACACCGGGAGCAGGAGCAGCGCGTGAGTGTCAAGCAGGAGCGTCGTGTGAGCAGCACCGAAGCAATGGTTTTGCTGTAGAGTGGCTGCACTGCTCCACTCAATTAAAGAGACAGCACACTTTTGATGGACAAAATAAATATGATTTCACACAAAAAGTGCTAAAAATGCACAAAATAAGCATGTCTAGTTTTATTCTTTTAACAAGAAATGAAGTATGCCAGAAAAGAAAATGAAGAATCAAAAACATTTATAGAAGATTTACCCAGTTAAGCTTGTTTTTAATTATTCAGTTTGGGTAAAAGTAAGGTGTATTATTAAAAGCACATCTGAAACGACATGATCGGAGCTGTTTTCTTGGTTGTGTTTGTTGTTTACCATTTACATGCGAATCCCCATGTTAACAAACTTTCAAGACTTTAAAACTTTCACGTTTTTAACGAACTGACTTCTAAAAACAAATTGATAGTTGTCTTTGTAAAGAAATAAGTAGCTTCCAGTGTGAATCGTCTTGCGAGTCTGCAGCCGCAGTGACGATAGTTATGCTGATGTGAAGCTGACGGGAAGCTCAGGCTTGCGGTGTGAAACAGGCATAAGGCACCAAGTCAGCATATTAGAATAATTTCTGAAGGATCATGTGACACTGAAGACTGCTGAAAATCAGCTTTGCAATCACAGGAAAAAAAAAACATTTTAAAATATATTATAGATTATATATTATAATATATTATAGAAAATGTATTTATAATTTATATAATTCATAATTATTATTTTAAATTGCAATAATATTCCACATTATTACAGTACTGTATTAAGAGACTGATCCCAAACTTTTCAACAGAAGTATGCTCAAAATATTTCACATGATAAAACCCTGTTATTACTTACTTAGGTCCAGCAGACATTAGTGGGCAGCTTTCCTCAGTGCAGAAGTCTGTGATAGTCCCATACAGCATGTTGATCTGGTTAAAGAAGTCCACAGCTACAAGCACATGAAACAGCATTATAATACAAACCTATGCCAGCATCTTTAACCATGTAAAAACCTTGTCTGAAATAATCATATTTTGTTCCAAAAAATAACAAGATAAATATCTACCCCCGCAGTTCCATCACGAACCTCAAGGGGTTTGGAAAAGCCAGCTCTAATTATATAGCAGAAGTTGGGTACACCCAATATTTCATGAGCTGCAGCAATTATATGAAACCCTAAACCCTAGCAACATCAGCGCTGCCCGAGTCTGTATTCAGCCCTCTGTCCCTGCGGCTTATAATCTAAGATAGCTCCACTGTCTCTGTTGTTAAATATAGAAGAAGGCCAAGCAAATATTGCAAAACTGACCTACAAACAGGCCTTAAAATGGATGTTTAGTGGGAAGACCCCTTCAAACACACGAGAGTCCTGATTTTGACTGTACCTATTTTAAAGGGTGTTAGCTAATTTTTTAGGTGTTAGCATTTGTACACAAACTGATATTTTACAAAATTTGTAATATTAAGAGGAAATAGATTATGTGTTTTATTTTTCGGGAGCTATTGCTTTGAAGCCATGAAACTGAATGTGGCATATATGTTTAGTCTGAGATGTGCTTGGTAGGATGGATGCCTGAGGTTGTATCTACAATTATTAATAAGGAAAAACACGAATAATAAAAGACAAATATAGTTCTAAGTACAATTAAAAACTAACTGCACTGTAATGTCATATGATTTAATTTTTTTCCCCTTTTTTGGAATTTTGATGTACTATTTAATTCTGCAGCAGCAGACCGGACAAAAAATAAAAACCTTTAAAACTACAGTAAATTTTCAAACTTTTAACACATGCTGAGGCATGCTTTTTCCTAAATTAAAGTCACATGCATACTGTTGACTGCAACCCATTCATTGAGGTCCTCTCCATCGGGCAGCATGACAGCCATGCGCAGGTTCCCGCTGCCCAGCGTGGCCTCTGCATGCTTCAGTAGCTCATACTGGTGTGAGCCCTCGGGAATGTTCTTCTTCGGCTTGAACGTCTTTGACGAGCGGCTTCCACTGTAGAAGAGTAAAAATGCAAGATATTTAGACTTCAATAATTGCTGCAAACTTACATTGAACCAAAAGATACTAAACTTGGTCAAGCAAAATTACAAGTCACTGGACTTTTACATTTAGAAACCCCTAGATCTAAACCTGATAAATGTGCCTTTACTGCAAATTACAGAAGCTACAGTTATTGTGGAATATTTTTTATATATATTGTGATGAAAATTGCAAACCAGGGCATCTGATGAAATACTAAAAATGTATAGTGTCACATTACTAAATAATACTAAACATGTTCTTTCAACAGCTTTTTGTTTAGATTATTTGATTCAAATTGGTGGATTTTGATCCACAAAGCACATTTATCTATTCAAATTAAACTCATGAAGAAGAGGAATTACATCTGAATAGAAAATGTAATGAAGTCTGCAGTGTTTTTATTTCCAAAAACAACACAAATTCAAATCACTTGTACCTAAAATACTTTTCTTTTTGCTTTTATTAAAGTGTCACTCCGAAATGTGGTACCAATGCTACTAAAAGCTGCTTTTGACTTTATAAAACTGATAGCTCTTTGGACAAGCCACAAGGATAGTGAAAAATTCTACATGGAGGTGTTCAACACCTCCTGAAGACTATACATATAAAACTGCCCAAGCTTGACACCTAAGCAGCTCCATAAAACCCAGTAAGTAACTCCTCCTCTGAGCTGACCATACAAGCCTATGTGCATTTACTGGTCTATATCAACACCTCAAAGTGAGCCTGTCTTCACCAATTCAACAGCTGCTCTGTTCAGTATGCCCACCTGTTTAGACACAAACAGGACAGAATTTGGACAGCAAACAACGAAAGGACACTGGAAGTGATAAACAAATACAGGCAAACCTTCTGAAGGACTCACTTGACTGACCAACATGTTCAAGCAACAATAAAGAGGATCAGAACAGACCCAGTTTCAGGTTGTGATGGACCCAAATTACCTTTTACCCATATACTGATATTTTCTTGAGTCAGGCGACTGCATCAGAGCATCAAGCAGAAGTCAGATGGGGAATTCCAGTCTTCACAAAGCGAAAACATGTGCATGCATAAACTCTTTGAAGGCATAATTATGCTATTTTAAAAACAAAACAATGGTGAAAAACACTCTTTGCACAAATCCAATTAAACTTAACAAATATTGAAGCAATGATTCCATTTTAGAGGCTTCACTGAATTATCTTGCGAATCATACAGCCTGGTTTGCAGCACAGCCTACTTCCCATTTTCAGTGGAAAGCAGAAAAATAAAGAAATACATTACGCTTTTCATTGCTGACATGATTATATTTATGCTTCTAGAGACTTTACAGCAAAATATTTGAATTTAATCTATAATTTAGCTGTCACAACACATTTAAATCCAAGTTAGCATCTCCCTAATATAGCCCTATTTATTATATATATATATATATATATATATATATATATATATATATATATAAAGAGAGAGAGAGAGAGAGAGAGAGAGAGAGAGACAAAGTCATAATTTTAAAAATACCTATGTGAACATCAACACAGATTGCAGCTGACAACAAATCAAGATTTAAAAGCAAAATGTATTGTATTGTGACTTACTACACTGGGATATGTATAGTACAGTATACAGTATACTGGGATTATAGTGGAATTATCCAGACATGCTGATCATATCTGGATTTCACTTGATGTCAAATCATTTTTGTACGTTTTGTGATGGCGACAGAACACGTATTGGGTAGCACTAGCAGTCATTGATGAAAATAGGATGTTTTAATAAAAATTATATCAGAATCAGAAAGAGCTTTATTGCCAAGTATGTTTGCACATACAAGGAATTTGTTATAGTGTCACAAGCTTCCAGTACACTGAGACAACAACAACACACAGATAATAAAAGTGAGATGTGAATAAAATACACATGCATAAATATAAACCACAAAAAAAAGAATAAATTGTATGTACAGGTGTGCTATAGATGGAATAGGAATAGAATAAAATAAAATAAGTTGTAGAGATGTACTAGGGTTTAGGGTGATAAATAAGTATAAGGTTATTGCACATACTGTACTTTAATTGCACAATGGGAGAACATTAACTGTTCATGAGGTCATGAGATATATTACACTAACAACATCTTTGAGTTATGATGGAGGGACACATTTGAGAAAAAGCTACTGGAATCTATCCACAAAACACGACACCTCCCGTTTACATAAATGACATGATGTTGGGAAATACAGCTGTGTTCACAGTCAGATTACTGTACAATGAATCCAAGCACAGTCATAATGAGGAGTAACCAAACCCACGATCATGCAGCTGTTGATGGCCTCATGTACTGGCGGAGTATTTATCCTTCATTAGCCAGACTAGAGTTTTGTGTTATGATGGTCACATACTAATCTGCAGACTGTGCTTCTATCAGCTTTTTTATATATCATTACAGTTAGCTTCTAATAAATGACGGCTGTGAGTCAGGATTGGTAATGTACAGGCAGCTTCGGGACAAAAGCAGTATTTCTACGCTTGCTAACTAGCCATCAGTGTTCCCATTTACAGAAACCAATCATACTTACAATAAAAAGCTCATCTCTCCTTGAATAAAACGCGCTGTAGATGAGAAATCGACACTAGTCCGTTATCTTGACTTCTGAAAGGTGGAAAAGCAAAGAATTTGCGCCGTATAATCCCTAACACTACAACAACACTGATCCTGCCCGTGCAAAACTTCTCCTTCCCATCCAAAGTCTCGCCAGAGCCCCAAATCTCGCGAGATTTCTTCTCAAATAAGAGTCACGTTACGAGAGCGTTTTGGGGAATTCAACTGATAATTGTGTTCTTAACCAACTCTATATCTATTACTGTAATTGACGTTAATTGGGAAAATCTGAAAGGAAATTTATGTTGGTTTAACTTTTTTTTAGTCCTAATAAAAATAAACAGATCTAAATTGGCCTTAAAAAGTGTTTATTGTGACAATTTTCAAGCGACAGCTGAAAACTCGACTACATTTGACTGCATCAATAAATAATAAATAAATAAATGCTTTCTCTTTCTTTAACCCGCTGTCTAGCGTGTACTAATCGGAACTTGAAACTTTGTATTATGAGCACTTCCTGTGTTTTTGTGCCTCTTTATGATGAATCACGTGTTCCTCAATTCCTCGCTTTGGTCGCTTTGGATAAAAAGCGTCGGCTAAATGAATTAATGTAATGTAAATGGGCTATATAACTAATTTTGAATGAAAATGCTTATTTTAAATGAAAATGCTATCTAATAACTGGTAGAAGACAATAACTTTTAACTTATTATAAAATGTATATTTGCCAAATACCATTATGATAATTTGTTTTACATTTAGTACAATGATTAAAAAAACAAAAATGTAATTTTACAAACAACATATCTTTACAATATCTAATATTGCCTGTGTAGACAAAAGATATTTTGCATCCTAATAAAAAGTTAATCATTTTCAGAAAATATTGTAATAATTTGCTTCCAAATCAAACAACGTGTTTAACACTACAATTAACTTTTATTTTGAAAGGACTGTCAAGGATCTAGATCAAAATTACTCTTCAATGCTCCATATCTTCACAGATGGTTCTAAAGATCCTACATCAGGAAAGTCAGCTGCAGCTGTATATATCCAAAGATTACAAGTCAACATTCAGAAAAGGATAACTAATTTTGTATCAGTCTTTACAACAGAGCTAATAGCAATTAGCTATTCAATGGGTGGAGGAAGTTAAGCCTACTAGGGTAGTCATTTGTACAGATTCCTTGTCAGCTTTAAATAGTTTAATAAGTGAACAATCAACATCAAGAAAGGATTTAATCTATGAAGTACTTATAAATCTTCTTAGGATTCAGGAAATTGGTTTAGTCCTGAGGTTCTTATGGGTACCTGGACATGTAGGAGTAATAGGAAATGAAATAGTCGATAAACTGGCCAAACAAGCAATGAAACATATGAACGTTGAGGTACAAATTCCACTGAGTAAAGTAGAAATAAAAGGAAGAATTAAAGAACACATGAATAAAAAGTGGCAGGAAATGTGGGACAAGGATTTAAAGGGCAGACACCTATATAATATCCAAAAACAAGTTGGCAAAGGGAGAGTATGCTTTAACAATAGAAAAGAAGACATAATAATTACTCGACTTCGAATAGGACATTCTGGTTTAAATCATTCATTATTCACAATAGGGAAACATCAGTCAGGATTATGTACTACATGCAGTGAAGCAGAGACTATTGAGCATGTACTTCTACATTGTGCAGTATATACCAAAGAAAGAGAGGAGTTATTTAAGAAACTGAGAAACATGGGAGTCATTAATTTCACTATATCAAATCTTTTAAGTTGTGCCTCAGGACAGACAAGTACTTTGAGAGAAATTCTTAATTTAAATGAGAAAGGATTAGAAAGTAGAATTTAAATGTCATAATAATACTACCGGTTGTTTTATTTATGGAATGTTTTTTTTAAATTTTATTATTATTATTATTAATAATTTTATTTATTTTTTGGTTCCTTTTTCCCTCTTTCCCGTTAATGCTTCACACTCCAGTCCAGTTGGT